CCACGAGGCTCCGTCAGCCCCGCGATCTGTATTATATGCCTATTAATTAAGGGAAATCAACATTTGGCCCAGATTAAACACGAAATCAAGCAGCAATTAATGGGCTTATTTGGAAGACTTAATGTGTCCAATCACGAGCGCACACTTTTTGGTGCTGTCCATATCTTATAAATGTTCGACTTTCTTAGCTAATTCTACAACACTTAGAAGTTCAGTTCGACTCTACACCTAGAGCCTGTTTAGTCAGTTATCTTTTTCGATTTCTTCCTCACGCTGACCGCTCAGTCTTCGGCACTTGGGGTTGGTTGGTCCACTGGACTGAACACCGAGCTCTCAGCTCTGTTGATCTACCATAAATCGCTAGTCTTTCGAGAACTTGGCCCCGACCTATCATCATCTTATCAAAGTACCCAATCCATATATAACACCCTAATAGATGAATATATGTGTCTGTGTTCAAGTGCTGCAGTATTTGTATCCCCCCTGATAATGGCCGCATTTCCCCTTTTTAGTGACCGTGAAGATGGACATTCTCAGCGACTATGGCTACCTGTCAGCTATCGAGTACCCCCTTAGAACAGTAATTTGCCCCTTTTTACCGTTTGCTATCGTTTTGCTTATCTTTATAAACTTCTAAGTATAACCATGCTATGAGAACCCATACGAAAGCCTGCGTTAGATCCGTGGTTTGGAAAGTGGGTTCGTTTGAAGGTATATACGATAATCAGAATTGCATAAATAATGATGATTTTGATTTGGTAACTGGCCAACTTTACAATTGCCTCATAATACACCTACCCGGTGTCTATCTGGCAGTACGTGAATGGTACACAGTGGAAAAAAGGAATTGGAATGAATGGAAGCAAATATGCGGGCCCCAGGTTCTTGTTGTAAAGAAGAGGAAGACGCGCCTTTCTTGGCCGTTCTCATTGTCATCGTTATCCACTACCGTGATTACCGCCGCTGAAGTCACTCACACTATAGGTGCACAAACTCCTTTTCGCCGCGGTTTTTATCCCCATCTGCAAATAACTAATGCTTACTGTTGGGACGTCCCGGACGCGAGTTATCACTCGGGCAATCCGGAGAGTACCA